GTCATATCCCCGGATATCAGTTTTGCGGTCCGGGAACGCGTTTAGAACAGCGATTGGCTAGAGGTGATCGGGGCATTAATCCACTGGACGCGGCGTGTCGCGAGCACGACATCGCATATTCGCGGAGCAACGAACTCGCTGAACGGCACGTAGCCGACAACATACTTGCCGCAAAAGCGCGAAAACGCATAACCGCGAGAGATTCGACTCTTGGAGAGAGAGCCGCAGCCACAGCTGTTTGGACGGCTATGAAAGCCAAGACGAAAATCGGCATGGGTTTAAAAACGAAGAGGAAAAGGAGCAAGCGAATACTTCCGGTAGCTAAACGCGGAGGTATCCTACCACTCTTGCCATTGTTGGGCGTTGTTGGTTCGTTGGTCGGCGGGGCGGCGGGGGTCGCGAAGGCCGTGAGCGATAACAAAGCCGCGCAGCGTCAGCTGGAAGAATTGAAACGTCACAATCGCGTCATGGAAGGTCATGGAGTTTATCTCGCTCCGTATAAGCGCGGTCGAGGTGTCTCGATGCGGAAAAAAAAACTACCAAAAAAAAAACGTTAAAATTTCCAACAGGTGCAACTACCAACATACAACTGCAACAATTGGCTGAACGTATGCATATTCCATATTTCAGAGGTATTTTCATGCGAACCACTTTACCGACGGGAGGAGTACGTCGAAATGAGAGCGGTATCGTGAATTTGGACAATGCTGAGGGATTCGGTACTCATTGGGTGGCATACGCAAAAAGGGGCAATCGTGCTATATATTTCGACAGTTTTGGCAATCTTTGGCCACCGAGGGAATTGGTGTGATATCTACGGGACAATGAGACGCAAATCGAATTCAATCGCACGCCTTATCAACGTTTCGATCAAAGCAATTGCGGTCAACTGTGTCTACAGTTTTTGCAGACGGTAGATAATCTATTTAAAGACAAACATTGCAACATTTAGACTCAGTATTCATTCAAACATGTCGCTGACGTTTACGCTGACTGGCAAAAGTAGCATCCTCGCGGTAAGCTACTTTCCACCTGTAGATTTGAGCCATGGTGAATACGAACTCGGTCTGGCAGATTTTGAAAC